TAATGTCAAATGTCATTTTGACATTCTTTTACAAAGATGTCAAAAACTCAAGGTGAAAGAAAAGAGTGTCCACAGTATAGAAAGGTGGCCTACAATAGTGTTTTGCTTGTGCATGTAGTTCATTAAAATTCTCAATTTTTGTGCTTGTTTTAAAAATACACACACACATGCATACACATACACACATGCCAGGGCAAGATCAGACCCTTTTGTACAAAGAGTCCCAGCAGACACCATGTCTGTTGTCCTGTTGTCCATTGCTGATGTGGTAGTTCAAAGCCTGATACCTTTTTTGTGGGGTCATGTTTATGTTTTCCTATGTCTTGGTGTTCAGTGACTCATTTGCTTTCCATTGGGAATTGATATTAAAGTTGTTGGGCAGATATTGTACAAGTGCCAGTGGGGGTTTCATGGATTGAATCTTCCAGCTGATAAATGAGAAAGATTGGCATACACCACTAGGAGTGAGTTGCTCATATATTTTTTTCTCTATTCTCCCACTAGTGCATTTTGCCTTTGTAAAGCTGGTGGTGCTATATGGCTCAGAACAGGAAGCCAGCAAGTCATATTGATTTTAATATATCCACTTATAATCCTCATAGTGTCATTGAGTTTGTGTCCTAACTTACTAGTATGGCAGCTCTTAAGCCATACAGGGCCACAGTATTCACAAAGTGCATTTTAAACGGGAAGGAATTGGCAGTCTGCATGCAATGGGCAGAAAGAGGGGCAGTAGTTCAAAAAAGAAAAAAAAAAACCAAGAAGGATTTGTGCTATCTCATAAGGGTAGAAAACAAGATGGAGCAAAATAGAGCTCGTTATGCAACTGCAGCTTTTAGAATTGCAAACATCTGCTTTCGCTATGATAAACAAAATTAATTAGAAATGGTTATATGTATGTGTTCTTTTACTCTCCTGGCCATATTGAGACTGGCATGTGGGTTATTGTCTCATGATTCATGTTAGTGGATAAATCTACCTTAGTGAGACTTAGCCCAAAAGAATAAATACCTCTTCTCAAGCATGTGTGAATACAGCTGCTGGATCTATGCCATGTGTATTTTTAATGGAACTCTGTGGTAATTGCAAATTAATGCCAAATAATTAACCAGGGATGAATAATGTTGGTCAAATTACATTTCCTATAAGTAGTTCCAAATGATCATATAATATTAAAGATGCTTGAGGGATTCAGTCTTAGCAAGGATAAACTGATACATGGATCAGTAATTAACCAGTTTTTCATATTCAAAATATTCATATATTTTTTCAATTAGGAAAAAAAGATATATATCTGTGTTTTGAAAGGAAATGCCTTTTGAAATATTATTTTAAAATAATTTTATTGATACACACACACACACACACACACACACATATATATATATATATACACATTTATACAAGCTATACAAGCCAAAAATAGAAACAAAAAGAATAAAAATAGAAAATGCCTAAAAATGACAAAGAAAAAAATAGAAAAGAAAGAAGCAATATAGCAAACAAAAAGAAAAAAGTATGAACAATTTTAGTAATTTCTCTTAAAATACAACAAAAGATCTCTTCCCAAATCTCATATTTTATCAATCAATCAAATTTTATTTCATCATAGACAGCAAAAAAAAAACCCAAGAAAATCACCATTAATCAGGGTAAAAAGAAAAAAAAAGCTTCTAAAATATCTAAGGATTAGAAAAGAAATGATGGCATACTATATAAACTATAGAACAGTACTTAAGAGTAGTCAAAGAAGTAAAGTCAGATTGATCTGATAATAACTTTAGATAAAAACAGATCAGAGTGAATCCCTAAAGCAGGGGTAGGCAGCCTTGGCACAGCTAGCTCATGAATTCTGGGAGTTGAAGTCCATGAGTCATAAAAGAGCCAAGGTTGCCTACCCCTGCCCTAAAGTAATGGCTGGTGAGAGGCCATTGAATCTGGCCAACCCTTTCAAATTTTGGAATTGTTATGTAACTGAGGTAAATTTCTGGTTGAAGACGGTGTGCAGAGTGGTTCAGAAAGATGTTTCTAGGTAGAACTGATAAATCTATTTGCAACTCTAAATCAATGACTCACTGCTTGAGATCAGCTAATGTACGTTCATAGCCCATCAGGGTGAAATGCTCATGAAAAACCATAAGTAACAGTTTGGCATATATTGTCTAGCACCAGGAAGTCTGAAGACTTATTGATCATAATTAAGTGGACCAAGCCAGCTGAAAAAAAGGAGAGCTTAAGCCAGTTTGAGGAAATGAAAATCCAGGCAGAAGTTTCTATTTTAAATAGGCCAACTTCATGAAAAAGCACCACATTCAGAATGCAGAAAAGTACTTGGAAAATTGATCTAAAAAACTTGGATCGCACTTCAAAAAGAAGGGTAACCTACAGGAGCCCAACTGAACTCCACAAAGGAGCTAACCTTAGATTTCAGCTGATGTTGGGCTCCTTTGGAGAAGTAGAAACATTATAAAGCCAAAGTTGTATTTTTGTGCATTTAACATAATCAGCATGGAATTTACGGTTGTCCATAGTATGGAAAGCAATTCCCAGATATATTTAAAGCTCTTGACTTGCTTTATTGAATGATTATTTAGCCACCAGATGTGTGCCTTAGGGTACCTAGCAAAAACCACAACCTCGGTTTTATAGTAATTAATTTTTAGATGTTCTTCTTGACACTGCTCAGCAAGTATGTGGAGCACCTGTTTCAGGCCAATCTGTGTGTCAGAAAACAGCACAGCAGCATCTGCATACAAAAGAATAGAACATTGTCTATTTTCCAGTTTTCATGGATGAAAAGATGTACTATTGAATTTGTCTATAAAGGAGTTTATATAGATTAGAAAGGCTAGAATATACTCTTGTCTCACTCCCTGTTGACAGGAATTTTCTTGGTGCTGTGTCCTTGCACATTACATTGTGCCTTCATCTAGGAATTTTTACACAACTTGTTCAATCATCAGGGACCTTTGCAGGGTTGATAATATAGGTGAATAGGGAAGCCAAATTGAATACCACTAATCTAAATTGTTTTGAATGATCTCTTATTTATAAACAAATTGTTAAAGCCTCATTGTTTAGTCCTGGTCAACAAAAGTTATTTAACAGGGATAATATCTATTTTAACATTGATCAAATAAAGCTTCTTTGTGTTGAATTTATTTTTCATAATCTTGATATTTAATCCTTTCAATAAAATCTTTATTCCCTTTCATTTTTTTTCTTTGTCCCTTCTCACAAAATCTTTCAAAATTTTAACAAGACTCTTTCGTAAATCCAGTACAGGAAAATTATCCAGGATTACTCTCTTGGTTTGATATTGTGTATCCCTTTTAATTATTAACACATCAGTTAGTTTTGTTTATATACTCAATGTAGCATTTTTCCCATACAATTCTTGTAGTCTGTCATTTTAAAACCCATTTTCAGATCCATCTCAGATGTCTAGGAAAATGTCTTCCTGTTTCATAACTTCTTTTAAACATATTCTATCTATAATGGCATTGTTAAAAATAATTCCTGGATCCATTGCTGACAAATATTAATTACATACAATGTTAAACTACTTTGCTCCATTCTTTATTAATAAATCAAATGTTAAGTATTCTTCTCCTTTCATTCTAATCTTTAATTCCTTCTGGTTCCCTCTAGTGTCCAAACATCAGGCTCCCATTCTACCATTTTTTTAAACTATTCAAAGCAACACCATTTTCCCATTGAAAAGATTCTTATTATTAGTTTCAAAATCTTATTTTAAATCCACCTGGACCTTTTGTCCATTTGTAACTTTCCAAAATTAATATTCTAATCACTTTTGTTGGTTATATTAAAAAAAACAACAGCAGTCAACTTGTATTTAAAACCTCTTTTGCTAAGGATGGAAGAAAATTACCCAGTCTTATATAACTTGTTGATCCAAAGATTCCTAATAACCGGAAAGCAGCTAACAAACCATTTTTGACAATGATTAGAAAAGGAAGTCCATTGCAAGTCCATTGTTCATAAACATGTAGCTTTATCAAGATAGCTATTCCCTCTTCTCCCAGAACTCTAAAGCCACCAGAGACCATTGTCTTGCAGACTCTTCACAAGGAGCACTTGTGGGTAATCTCAAGTCCTCTCCTTGTCTAGAGAGGGATAGGAAGAGTCAGTCTACTCACCAGCTATTCATTCTGTTGCATTTGTTGGCTGTCTTCTCAGCCATTTCTTTCCAAGAAGTCTGTTTAGAAATGTTATTGTGATGATCATTCAAATGTATAATTAAATCTGTAGTAGAATGCAAATTTTATGGAGTAAGACATAAATTAGTAAATTAACATAGAGACAGAATGCAAGAGATTTATAAATGGGCATATGCAAATAACTAAAACAAAATAATTCATATATTACTCAGTAATGTGTCAGTAAAACTTAGGTGCTTAATGAATTTTATAATTAAGTTTAAGAACATTTAAAGCTGAAATAGAGGAAAGTATGCATTGTAAATGATGGTATGTATGGTTTTTTTTTGGGGGGGGGAGTTCTTTATCTTTTCTTCTGATTTTTATTTCACAATCAATTGTCTTTCATAATTTTAGTTCAGTTTTGTTTTCTATTTTCCCTTGGATAAACAAATGGAACAAAGGGTCCATACATAGTATAGTGCATGTAAAACTCTATTAGCATCTGCAAAGAATATCATGTGGATGTTTACAAAGTATTTTTTAATTCTTACATTATTTTGTTAGAAAATGATCCTTTGTGACACTCCATAGTGACTTTCTCTTAATATTGACAATCTATGATTTATGACCTTAGCATCTACCTAAAATTATTTTGCATTAGCAAAATAATATCAAGAGAGTACATTCTCTCTTGAAAATACTCACTTCTTTCCTTATAGTTATTGCAGTGGGATATTTTCCCCTTGGGATAGAGGAAGGGGTTAAGTTATTTTGAGAATGTTAAGACAATCAATTTCAGCGTGACTGACCAGGAATATATCTTATTTTTCTCCACAGGAAAATGCTCGGCATTTACAAAGTGTGCTTGTCTCTCAAGTAGATAAATCCACCCAGACTGAAGTTGTAGGCCATGATGTAAGTAACTACTTTATAGGGATTTTTGTCGTTTATCTCTTGAATTAATATTTAAATCTCTACCAGCCTTTTTTCTTGCCACTTCTGTGCTTGTGTATTATTGTAAAAGTGGGCCATCTCGTTCATCTTTTGTTCTTAAATGATTCTTAAATACCTTTTGCAACTGAAAAAAAAAATCTCTGTCTGCTGGCATAGTATGCTTCAGTAACTACATGTTTTAGCAACATTCTTCTTCCATTCTCTAAATTTGCTCTGAGACGATTATGAGAAAATTTGAAATCTTTCTATATACATGTGCGTTTACTTGCTTGTCAATAACCGGATGAACTTATTATGCTTGTAATCATCAAAAGCTCAAATCATTTTCTTTTCTCAATCTTGTTTCATAAAAGAAAGCCTCCAGAAGTTTGTCAAGAATTTTAGATTCATATTTTAATCACTGGGTCTCAGCTGGGAATACTGTTGGTAATTTAACTAAAATTAGTTGTTTTTCCCTGGTGATAGCATGAACTGCGACTATTAAGAAAATGCTCATATTGATGGAACAGTTAAGAGTATTGGTTTCTCCTTGTTTTTCCTTTAGAATCTGCCTTCAAAGAATATTGATAATCAAAGTTTGGAGAGAAAATCTAAAAAAGAGTTATTATTTACTTAAAGAGCGTCCTGTTGTTATCTTTTGCTTTTTGGTATCCTCAGTCTAAAGTAAATGTCTGACCTTTGATGTTAACTCTGTCCTTTGATGTGGATTGCTGTCTTCTGTTTACTTGTATGGAATTTTCTCTTTTTCACGTTCGGAGTGAACTGCATGGAATAGCTATGTGTGGATTGGTGGGAATTTTTTGTTGTTTGTTTTTGTGGGGATTTTTTTTTTGTATAATGTTCATTAAATTTAAAGGATCGCCTTTTCATTAAGAGACAAGGGTATTGGAGGAGATTCTATCTTAGCACTGTCCACAATTAACACTGATATAGTCACATGGGAAAATGTAGCACCTGAACTATTGCATACACCAATTTTGACCTCTGCATTCATTTGTGGTGCTGCATTGTAGATTTGATTGTTCCATTCTTGACTTATTTTTCTACCTATCAGTAGCTCCAGATGATAAATTCTATAAAAATTATGTATAATTTGTCTATAATATGTAGAAAATAACATGTATATACCTATTATACATACATTATATCTCTGCATTTTATCTGTATAAAGGTTCTATAAAAATAACATTAAAACGGAATAGTCACAAATCAAAAAGGGCAATTAATTATGACAGCCAAGAGCACCATCAATTTTACAGTAAACCAGTAACAATAATAATACATCAAACAGTAGTCCAGCTGAAATAAATGAATAAATCAGAAGCAAAATAAGATTACTTCAGAAAGAATGTAATGAGTCTCACTGGAAAGGAAACTTATAGGAGGCACCATCACTGAGAAAGTATTTGTTGTTTTTCCCCATCAGTTTAAGATAACTATTTTGCATTTATTATCCATTTTACATATTCTGTGGATTCAGTATGTTGCTTTCCTCATGTTCTCCTAAATCATTCATTAATTTAAATAAAACATCCAGCTTTGTGGGGATTTTTCAGCTGTATGTTAAGTTGTCTGATTAACTAAATTGATACAGACGTTTCAAATCTCCAAATGGTTAATATTATTACTATGCATTTCTGTTATTCAAAATTGGTACAATTTCTTTTTCTTTTTTTTTAAAAAAAAAGTGTACCAGAGGTACTTTAAGAGATGTTGTGGCTGAGAATTAGTTTTGATTCATTTGGAAAAGGTTACCTGTTAAGCAGCTTATATAGGATATGTTGGCCCACAGAGTTTTATTGTCTAGTTGAAAACAATGGATGGTTAAAATCATAGGGTCTTGAAATGTTCTCTAACATGTGCTTTAAAGCTTCATATACTAAAATGAAATGCTGCAGAGTTTTGTTATTTTCAGAAAGCTTTGAACAAATTCTTCCTTTATGGAATGGATTCGCAAAATTAATTTTACTGAGCTTTTGTTCACCCTGTACTCGGACATCATTTTGATTTCTTATCAATACACTTCCCCCCCCAATGATTATATTCCATTTCATTTCCTACAAGAAAGAGATAACTTCAAGGGTACATTAGAAATCAGAGAAAGGAAACCTCTAAATAAGCTAGATGTGGATGACTTAGGATATGTACATTTAAAGTTTAAAAACAAGTTGGCTTTTTAATTATATTTGTGTTCCAAGACTGAAAGACATATTGAAACATTCACTATATTATACAATATTGTATGTAAAAGTTTGATCATTTTCCTAAAATCTGTATCATTAGTTTTTTATTTTACCCAAGTGGCTGCAAATGTTGGTAATTTCAGTATTTCCCAGCCATGCCGATTTGCGCTCCAGACTTTAAAAAAAAAAAAAATCTAGGCTGCAAGATCTAATAAAGAATGGTAGTTATTCAAATGAAGAAACTATTTTAACATAGTAACACTGAGAGGAAAATAATGCGGTGCAGATGAAGAGAGAGCTTCATTGTTTATCCAAGTTTTAATACCACAGCAAAAATGATTTAAAGACAAATCTAATCATCAGGCAAATTTCTGGGTTTATTCAGTAGCTATTTGTAAACATGAAAAGCAAAGCTGGTTTCTTCAATTAGAAGTGTCAGTTTAACTTTCTTGTCCTTGCTCTCTTTTTTTTCCGGAGATTGCTTCAATAGAGAGATCAAGGTTTTATTTCTTTCAGTCACTTGATTTTTTAAAACATGGAGAAGAAGGAAACCATTGAGTTTCACTGCATTGGATGACGAAAATGCATGAACTCATAGGTTAGATCTTACTTTGAGGCTTTCATGGAGGAACAGATGGGGGAGATCTGTAATGCTTTTCTCATATCCATTTGTTTTCCTACTTCTTCAGCTGTGAATTTCACACTTCACTACATGATGGAATATTTTGCTCTTATCTGTTGAAGAACAGCCAAGTATTTTCTCTCAATTATTACATGTTGCAGGGATTATTTTTTTTTAGATGAGTTCAGATGCATACTCAGTTTGACTTTGTCCATTATGAACCATAAGAGTTGAGGGACAAAATCAGTAAATGGTAGTAAATAGTAAATAGTTTCTGATAAAACCGCTTACAACTGTTGCTTGTATTCCTGGTGGGTGAATTTGGGCCACTCACTATTGCTTCATCCCAGTCTACCCTCCAGGTTAGGGGGTTTTTTTTGGGGGGGAGAAGGGAGAAAATGGGAGAAAAAAACTGTGTACATTCTTTCTAGCTCCTCGAAGAAAAATGCAAATAAATCTAATAGAAAAAATAAGAACAAGCAAAGAATATTGGTTTGCTTCTGTGTCTTGGCCAAATTCTCTGACAATTAAAAGATAGCTGTTCAGTGCTTTGCGCATCCATATGTGCATACATTGGGAACATCTGAGTTTTTAAACCTATAAATGAAATTCTAAAATCGTCAAAGTGTCTTTTTGCAGTCGAGCTCTAATTAACACATGCATTAGCACAGTTGCCACTGCTGTGCTTTCTGTCTGATAATTTTTACTAAGCATTCCAAAATAGCTACTATTAGCAGGAGTCAACAACGTGGCATCTGAAAAATGGCTCCTGAAATCCTACAGATGTATGTTGACTTAAGATTTACAGTTTTAAACAATAAGGAGGAAAAACCTGCTTGAATTCTTTCTCTCTCTTTTTTTCTTTTTTTCTAACATAATTCACAAGCAAAAACAGCCCTTCTATAAATACAAGACTTGTGAAAAGATTCATAGGCAAGAGCTGCCTATGATGGTTTCTCAAGATAGCCTGATGATCTCATTTGGCTTGATATTCATAAAAGCCACAATATGTTTTCAAACCGATAGAGAACCCTGTTCCTCAGAGCCTTGAAATTGGAATTCCATAGCCTAGACAATATGTGCCCCTTCATTTATTTCGTCTGCAATTCCAGTCATCTTATCTGCTGGTAAACATGGCAGCAAGCAGGCAATATATTCCTGTAGACTCTGCAACATAAATCTCTTAAAGCTAATGAGCTGTTCTACATAATATACAGTTCAGCTCTTTTTTCTTCTTCTTCCCTGATGCGCATTGTCACAGCAAATTTTAAAGGCTAGATCAATTGATACACAGCATTCCCTAGTGGTTTCCTAGAACTGACTGAAATATTTTGTCCTTTTCATCTGCTGGTCAGTGAACTAAATGTCTCTGGCATATTCCCAAAGGAAAGGGAGAGAGAGGTGGGGATGTGGTGCGTGTGAGAGAGAGAGATACACAGACGTATATTGCACACAGACAACAAATTAAAGGGAATGGGAGCATCTGTTTTGTTTAAAGCTAAGTTTTAAACTTTGACCACTTGGAATAAGAATTACCATTCCCCCCCCCCCCATTGAACAGAGAAACAGGTAATAAGAGAGTGAGTACACATTATGTCCTGAGTACAAAAGTGTAAATCTCTTCCTATTACTGTACAAAAGAGTGACCTCTTTTGTGATGCATAAGCTTCGTAAATTCATTTTTCTCATCTATTTATAGATTACAAATTTTTGGTACAGTTCCTATTTCAAAACTGTTTTTTTTATTTTTAAATCATACTATTCTTTCAGATGTTGCTGAGTACACTGAATGAACTTTTCCAAGCAGCCACCAGGAATCAAAAAACACACAGGCAACCCACCCTTCAATGCCTCTCTTCCTCAAACCATTTTAGCAATATGGATATAATACTAATAATGAATATTAACCCAGTAATAATGTGGCGTCCATATAATATATTTCTTCTACGATTTTATATTTCCATCATAGTGAAGTTGACACCCAAGTTATTTCTAAGCATTTTCTAAGATGTCCAGCTTTAAAAATATTTTATGATCTTGGCCTTATCTTGATATCTTAAAACATGCTTAAATGTATTGATTTATTAATATATAGCTTTCCAACATTTCATTTCAAAATTCTTGTAAATAATTAATAGCCATCTTAAAATATTATTTAATTTCTATTAAAACATACTGTGCATTTATAATCATCCAAAACACATTTCCTTATCCAAGCTAATTCAGGGTAATTATCATTCCCAGTGCATCTGGACTAAATTTGACATCAAGAGAGATATTTTAGCATTTCATACCGCCCTGCCCATTTGAGACAATTCCAGTTCCTTTTTTAATAACTTAGGTTGTTGTTGTTGTTTTGAAAAAAAAGCTTGATTGATAGTAAGCCAATCTAAAATACTAATATTCTTGTTAGTCCTGGGATTTTTTTAAAAGGTAGTGTTGGCAATGGTGGTGATGATGATAATGGTGATTGAACTCAGAGCATAGATAATTTATTATTTGTTAATTAAGCATTAATTAATTCACTTCTCCACTCTATACTTGATCATCCCCTTGCTCTGTCTGTCTTTCAAGATCTTTTTTTGGCATATTTATAGTGTTTTAGATGCCATTTCAATTATTGTAGCACAATCCTACATATTTTAATTATTATTTAAGTATTTATTGTTATAATTTCTAAAAATAAAATAAAATATTTTTAATTTAACTTTCTTAAACTACAAAGGATTGGTAACACAATTGTTCTTTTATGTCTGTTGTCAATGATACATGGACCTTAATATTTGAGAGTTCATTTGACATTCTCTTCTTCTTTTTAAGGCCCTGTGGAATTCTTCATGTATTGACGGTTCAGTTTACAAACCTATCAGCATCTCATTGGTATCAACATTTTAACTGAATAAAATATGCTTGGATACAAGCTACATAGACCATTAATTTAATCCTCTCTTATTTGCCTGTATAAAAAGGAACCTGCATTGGCTTCATCTGTTTGACCTATTTAATGACATCTCTGGAGGGGCAGGGTGAAAAATCCTTATTTAACAACAATCACAAAATACTCTACACTATTCTCTCAACTGCATTAAGCAATAATTGTTCAATGATGACCAAATTTTGCAGAATTGAAATAAAATACAATTGTATTTATATTACTTGTGTACATTTTATTTAACCTTTGGGGCAAGAATACTAGATAGATATAGTTTTATTCCCTGGCTTCTATAAAGTGGGATGATATAACCTGTCTTGGACAGCAATGTGATGGAAGAAAAATTGTGACATACAAGAACTGATGCTAGATACATTATTTCAAGATTGAATGTTAGATCGAGCAAGGACAGCTAAGGGTAACACAACGGCTTGCACAACAACTAACATGCTGGATCCTTCACATTTCAGAATAATCATACAGTGAAATAAAACATAATTCAATGTTAATCTTATATAAAAGATTTATCCGTGATAAACTTTAATAACCTGGAAGGAAGTGGTCTGCAGTTCTTCTTCCTCCCCAGCAAGTTTCTACAATATGGTGGCCAATTGTCAGTTTTGGCTTCATTTATTGTTTTGCGTACAAAAATATAGAAATACAGAGGTTTGATCAAAACTGGATCTGCAAAGTGCAGGAATTCAGTTGTCCAGGCAGTTCAAATGAACATGCTAAAGCTTGTTTATTATTATTTATTGCATGCTAAAGCTCTCCAGAAGAACCTGAACTAGTATCGGTCAAAGCAAACTGATGGTAGATTAGAATCAATGGAATTCAAGGTGGGCTGGATAGGTGTGAAAGAACTTGTGGGTTTGAAGGGACTTGAGATTGATGACACATTTGACCCCTCCTTTGGGCTCTGCCTGATCATCTCCTACAGAGTCAGGTGATTCCTTCCTTTAATCCTTTCTATCCAGGGCCAAAGCCATGCTGCTGAAGCAATTCTACTTTGTGACCATTTTTGTGACCTGACTACACATCTGGAAATGAGATAGGGAAGTATCCATTGGTAACTCTGATACTGAATGATACTCAGACTTTTGTTGTTGTTGTTCAATTTTGTCTAACTCTCAGAGACTGCCTGGACAAGTCCCTGCATTTTTCTTGGCAAGGTTTTTCAGAAGTGATTTACCATTGCCTTCTTCCTAGGGCTGAAAGAGTATGACTGGCCCAAAGTCAGCAGCTTGCTTCGTGCCTAAGGTGGGACTAGAATTCATGACCTCCTGCTTTCTGTCCTGATGCCTTAATCACTACACTAACCATAGTTTGGATAAATTAAATTACATAAGTGATTTTTATTTTCTTTTTATGACCTAATCCCTTTTATCGGGGTGGAGTCAGGGTGACTGGCTGGATGTCCTTACTGATGCTTATGTGGAGTTTGCAGCAGATCTTTTCTCTTTGCGCCCAGATAGAGAAACATCTGTCACAGTCTAGGATTGAACTTTCAACCTTCCAGTTGGAAGGCAAGCATCTTTACCTCTATGCCACCACTCTCCACCTTAATCACAGTCTCAACTGGGATCTAAGTTCAGGTATTCTTTTAAAACCATTTTTAATATGCAATCTAGTAGATATTTCAAGAACTATTAAACTATTAAAAAAACATATGGAAGGAGAAATAGAAGGCATAAATTTCAAGGTGAAGTACAGGGAAGAAACCTTTAGATTTTTTTTAAAAAAGAGACACATTCTGAATTAAAAGAATTAAATACATTCCATGTTAACATATAAACATTATTTTCTAATTACAGTAATATATGATAGATGATAATACAAAGAGGATTTTTTTTAATCCTCATAATTTTAGAACAATTATATTTGAGAGCCTGTGGATCAAAATTATCCACAAAATGGCGCCACATCATCCAGTTGCCCAAAAATAATATTGGAGAGAATGATTCTGTGGTATGAAATTTAACAGCCCATTCAGAAGGACTCTGTACTTTCTTTTCCTTTTTTGTTTTGTTTTCCCTAGTACAATTCTAATAGCACTAATTGCTGACAAGAAATAAAATGCATGTAAGGCCATGTTTTCAAAGTGCAGGCTATGACCTTCAGAGTAGTTGTGAGACAATCAGTTGAGAAGCGACAGAGCGAATCTTGCTGGCAAATCCTTTCTGGGCAGGCTTGATATATAAATATGCCAAATGTAAAGGATTGCAACAGTTCCAGAATCTTAGCCAGATTATTCCCCCCCTCCTTTTTTTTACGTAGAAGTATGTTAACAGAAATCTGTTAAGCTATTGCATGAGTCATCCACTTTTAAAACGTTAACACCTTGGTTATCATTATGATGAAAAATATTAGTAGAATATTGTATAAATTCCCAAAGTAGCTTAAAAGGCATATTTTCACTCTGAACCCCAAATCTAAATGTTTAATCTTGAGATAATAACGTGACAATATGTTTAATATATTCATGTTCTTTAACCTCTCACTAAACCTCTATGAAAGCACGAATTAGTAAGTCATAATTCAAGTTCTTAGTCAGAAAATTTTTCTAAAGGTTTATATCCCTCCTATTATTGTAGAAAATTAGAAGCAGACAATTTGACATGTGAAATATCACTGTGGCCCTTTCAAGGCTTGATTTTGGGGTCTCTGTGGGTCTGTGTTGCCTCAAGTATAATTCTATCCATAGGGAGACAGTTGCTTACAGGAAAAATAAAGTTCACAAATGAAGGCAAATATAAATGTCCCCAGGATGAGGTTGCAGGATCCAATCCAGGACCAGAGATGTAGTCTTCTGAGCCCACCCTTAGGAAATTTCCTTCTAGTAGAGAGGAGAGGCTCCAGCATGAGGCTGAAAACTCAGAAGACTAAACCTCTAGTCCCGAGATTGGATCCTGGGAGATGAACCTCATTCTTTCTTATTGATTACAAAAATAGGAACAAGATGGAAGGACTAAAAAAAAAAAATCAACAAAACAATCCTTCATTGGTGTCAAGAGTGCTGCAAACAAAAAATTAGACAATATACCATTTTTACAATTCTGTTTTGTTTAAAACACATATAAACTTAATATTTACATACACTGTATATTAAACCAGAATCCCCGAAATTCTAGTATACCTGTGGAATTGCTTAGACCAGGGGTAGTCAACCTTGGCTCTTTTATGACTCAAGGACTTCAACTCCCAGAATTCCTGAGCACAGCTGGCTCAGGAATTCTGGGAGTTGAAGTCCACGAGTCATAAAAGAGCCAAGGTTGACTACCCCTGGCTTAGACGGTCAAATGAAAGGAGTACTCTTATCCTCTATGCCTGAATTTTGGTCATGGCAATTCTATAATTCTAGTGTAACATGCTTAGACGACCCTTCCATGATCTTTCATCAGAAATAAGGCATCCTTGTATAATGCTGGTAACATTATTCGCTTAGACTCTGGGCTATCCCCAAATGCATCCTGAACAGCTACAGTTCTTCCTCCTCTTCCAGTGGCTGATTCCTTCTGAATCTCACTAGAATTCCTCCCCCCCCAAAAGATATATCTTTGCAGATTATGCCACTAGGGGACACTGCCTTCCAGAAGGCTTGTAAAGATTTTGCAAAGTTCCTATGTCTGTCTAGCAATTCATCCAGGGAACAGGGGAATTCATCTCTCTCTATCTGTGGTGGGTGTAGCTGTTTCTCAGTTGTTTTCATTGGCTGCCTAATTGTCACCAATATGGTACCCGAATTTGGTGGGGGGAGGGGAAGGAGGGAAGGCTCAATGCTCAGAGAGACTGCTAACATTCCAGTCAGCACCATATTATCTGAAAGAGCCTTGACCATTGAGATGTGTTTGAGTTGACCACCCCTAGAGCCTGGACCACCCCCAGAGTGAACATGATTTTCAGGTCCTCCATCCACAGTTGCTATTCAACAATGGGGATTTTGCTTTGAAATATTTTCTTCTTTTTTGGGACAGTCTTCCCCACCAAAATTCTCTGATGATGGAGATTTGAGTCCCTCATGGCGGTGGTCTTGCTATTGAGTGCAGTCAGTTGTATCTTCTTCTTCATTAAGAGAACCATTTTTCTGGGGTGTCTTCTGTCCAGACTTTTTCCAGATACTAAACTTCTGTGAAAGACTCAGACTATGTGTCTCTAGCCAGGTATCTCCTGCTTGGTTCTCTCCACCACAGGGCTGATTAGCAGAAAGGTCAGCTATCAACTCACATAGCAGTACACCTATGTTTCAAAGCTAGAGTTGACCATCTTCTCCTCTTTTGTACAATAGCAACTGTACCTAGCAACTGAAAACTGCATGGACAATAATATGGAAACACATCATTTTCCAGTTCATTCATTCTTCTAAGATTCTTTTCAACTTCTGAGTCTAGCCAAAAACCCTGGAATTCCCTGGTGGCTCCTATCCAAGTATTAATTCTCCCAACCTTGCTTAGTCAAGCACTGAAATTTACTAATATGTTTATTTTAAAGCAGCCAAGATATAACTGGGTGCAAGGAGGATATTTGTGACGGTGCTTCCTTATTTTAATTTTGTATAAATAGGCAATCACCTCCAAGGATTTTTACAAAGTTTGGAAAATGTGGGAAGGACAAAACTAACCCCAACCTCTTCCACAGTTCCTTTAAAAATGCTGTAGATCAGTGGTTCTCAACTTTTTTAATGCCGCGACCCCAACCGGTCGTAAGTCAAGGACTTTCCCTGCCCGGGAGCGCCGCGCATGCGTGGTTCCGCCCCCTGCACTGGCCGAGGCGTAGCTGGCAAGCGGCAGAGATGGAGCAGGCCGACCACCAGCTGGCCCAGCCCAAGGGAGGTAAGGCACCCGCTGGAAAAGGGAAAAAAATGGCGGACAAAAAAAATGGCGGACAGCCTTGCTTGGCGACCCCCATGAAATGGTCGATCGACCCCAAATGAGGTCCCGACCCACAGGTTGAGAACCACTGCTGTAGATAGATAGAAAGTATAGATACCTCTCTCACATATCCACACTTGCTGAGTTCCTAATGACAATATCCGTCCCTGAAATTTTATGTTACCGAAGGCATGATTGCTGTTCACATTATTAATGTGGCCAGAAGAAAATGGTTTATGTTTTGCACGGCAAAAATCCTTATGAAATATTTCTCGTTGCTTCCAGGCATTTGCAATAAAAAGCACAGAGCTTCCTCCAGATTATAGTAGATCTTTTAA